GATCATCATTAGCCCATCTGCGATCAGCCCTCCTATTCTCTCCTCGGTTGGGAGCACTGCCTGAAGGACCGGGGTAGTGGCAACTAAGAGCTGCCACGGAGCTTTTGATCTAGAGGTGCTTTTCAGTAAGGTTGTAGAAGCAAGAGAGGGAAACATCATCCTCAGATTGCAGTTCTTTCCACAAGTCTGCATGCAGGCGAACTCCCGCAATGATGAGACTCCGAACAGACTCTTCGAGAGTATGAGCCACTTTGTGGAGCTCCATGTGGAACTTGTCTATATAAGATTAGAGAGGTTTACCCCTCTCCTGCCGTATATTGCTCAGGTAACTCAGCGGCATTGAGAACTTCCTGTTCGCTTGGAAGTGCCTCAAAAACATCGAGCTCATTTGAGGCCATGAGCCGACTGACCCTAGTGCTAGCGATCTGAACCAGCGCTTGGCATGGATGGTAAAGGTTACCGCCAAGCAATGACATTTTACTAAGTCAGAGACTTGGTGGAGTTCCATGAGGTCGTTGAACTCATACAAATGATCCTGCGGATCAGAATTCCCATCTTGCATGTTGGGCATTCTGAATCTCGATGGGAAAGGAGCGGCTAACACTGCCGGAGAGAAGGGAGAAGCTTCTGCGACCTGCCTTTGCTCATTCTGCTAGGCTTTGAGCTGATCCAAAGCTCGTTGTAGTTCCTCAATCTGAGGCAGCGGAGTTACCTGGGGATCACTTTCCACAACATGGGTTCGACCCTCACAGTTGCTGTTGAGGAAAGACCGTAAGTCAGACTTTTCCTCATCTCGGTCGGGACCCCTGGCCAATCTCGACACACGCTGGCCGAAACTGTGTGATGGGATTGAATGATTCGGGGAGTCTTTTCGACCTTTGCGGTGGTACTAACTGACCTGCTGATGATGGGAATCTCCCCGCCTTGCACCTTTAGGGATGTGCCCGTGCGACGTGGCATGGGACGGCTCATGCTGCGACATGTCGCCGAGTCATAATGCCACGGGTATTCTACTCGGGGTGCAATCGGTGTTCACTAATCCCTCGGAGCCCTTGGGCCCACTGTGTGCCACTTGCTTTCCCTTTCTCTGACGCGCTGCAGTGCGCGCGACGTAGGCTTTCACCCTTTTTAGCGCTTTCACGCGACCTGCAGGCATTTTTGGCGGTGGCACCGCCTCATTGGATTTGGGTGGCATGACCCGATCCAATCGGTCTAGCCTTTGGCTGATTGCTTGAAGAGTATTGTTGAACCTCTCCAGGTAACTCATGACGGTTGGGTTGGGTCGGGTTGTGAGCTTGAAGGAATATCTCCTATGATATTCTGCTGGACTGGTGGCACTTCGGGAGAAGTGTCCTCCTGTACCTAGGGGATTGCTTCATTACCCTGACTGGTTCGCTCAGATTCGAAGCCACGAGCCATTTGCTGTTATGGGACCAATTAGTCAGAGATTTCTTTGATGAAGAGTAGGTACTAAATTAGGCCCTCCTTCTAGCGCCAAATTGTTGATGCTTGATTTTGACACTAACAACTCGCACGTGTGAAATGCTAAAAGGAATTAAAAGTCACACATGATATGAGGGGGGTTGAATGAAATAAAAGGGTGAAGAACAATTTTTAAAGTGGTTTGGATGCTCAAAAGTGAATCCTACGTCCACTGCTGTTGTATTAATAAAAGAGAGATCAGGTCGTGTTCAGCGAGCTAAGTTACAATTTGGGTGAGAATACAAGAGAGAGAGAGAGAGAGAGAGAGAGAGAGAGAGAGAGAGAGAGAGAGAGAGAGAGCTAATTAAACGTAAAATTAGGCAATCCCCCCAAACGAGAGGGAAGTCTTCTATTTATAGTGGGAGAGTTCAAGGTAATGATTGTAAAAGCTGCAAGTGGGTAGGTGTCGTGCAAATCCTTCACTGTGTCCCATTGTTCACCTGCCCGAGGGATTTCCTCGACTAAAGCAGGGTTTTGACACATGGGCGATCTCTAGCCGCTTGCTGGTTTGGCACCCACCTGCTGTACTGACAGGAGCCATGCCACTTGCACTGGTTGTGACTTGGCCGCACCTGGATGACACAGGACCCTTCTGAGTTCTGACCATACTTTACTGGTGAGGCTCTACGTATATATATATATATATATAATTTTTTAATTGGGACATTCACATTCCAATGTAATCGGAATTAATTTATGACTGTGTATGGTTGTAAAATATCATTTTAATTAATGTAATAAATCTGACGGTGATGAATATGTGCGGTCCTTACAAAAATTATATAGATAAAATTATTCTCTTATAAGAATGTCTTGAGACTTTAAATTTAAGACATTATGTTAATGGTTGAGATAGACGGTTGATATTATAATTGTATATAAAATTTAAAAATACAGTTTTTAGTTTTAAAAAAAAAAAAATATATAACAAATCTTATGAAAATATGTTTAGTAAAAATGAGTAGAATTATTTTCAAAAACAGTTTTCAAATATAATCCTAAAAATTACTGCAAAACTAGAAAACTGTTAAAAGTATCTGATGTCGGCGTGGTTAAAATTCATTAGAAGAAAAAGTCATAACTTCTCAACATATAAATGCAAGTATTAAATAACCTTGTGGTAGGAGACCATATTGTATATTTATATTACAAACATATAACATCTCATTCAAGTTACAAGAAAACAAAGAAATATATATATATATATATATCTATATATTTATATTATTCAGTTACAAAACAAGAAAGTAATATATATATAAGAATGTTTCAGTTGGGTTTTCATAAATCTTCCGACAATGTGGTTGTAAAGCATGTGAGAAAGAGTGTAGGTGTTTTTTTTTTTTTTAACAATGTATATAATGGATAATAAAGCTTTAATCAGGACATCTGATATAATAGAAATAAATTTATGATTGTGTATAGTTGTAAAATATCATTTAATCTAATAGTAAATCTAACGGTGATTACGTATGGCCATTACAAATTTATATATAGAATTACTCTCTTATAAAGACAATATGAGACTTTAATTTTAGACATTAGGTTAATATTACAGTTGTACAAATTTTTAGAGCCTGTTTAATGTAGAATATAAACACAATTTTTCGTTTTTGAAATAAGGAATAACAAACTTATGAAAATACGTTTTGTACAAATTTTGAAAACAGTTTTCAAATACAGTCCTAAAACTAATGTAAACTAGAAAGTATTAAAAGGATTTTTTCACAATTTTCTATAGCTTTTAATCTAAAAAAAAATTTTAAATTTTGTATCAACACGTTTTAATATTAAAAATTTTAAATGCATTTAAATGTGTAAAGTAATTAATTACAAAAATTACTAATCGAGATTTTTCATGATGAACTAACTAATCGAGCATTATTCCAGTTTCAAACTAGCCGTCTATCTTCATGTCGTTTTCAGCACCATGTTTAGCAGCAATGGCAAACGTATAGTAATATATTAGAAGAAAACTCATTACTCAAAAAGTCTCAACCCTTTACTTATAATACAAATAGTTATGAGCTGTAGTGTATCTCCTTCAACTTCCAAGAAAAGAAAGTAGAAATGGTTCACGCATATTTGAAGATCTTGATATTGTAATTGTTGGTGGAGGCATTTGTGGCCTTGCCACTGCCCTTGCTCTTCATAGGTACTTATTTCTGTTCTTATTTTCCTAACATGTGTAATTGTTACACATGTTAAGTGGTGCTAAATATTGTCTTTTTGTCTTGACACTTAATGTTGTAGGAAGGGTATGAAGAGTGTGGTTGTTGAGAAATCAGAAACATTGAGAGCATCAGGGGGTGCCATTGCAATTCGCCTAATGGGTGGAGAGCTTTGGAAACTTGGTGTTGCTTCAAAGCTCAGGTCTAATGGCATCCGCCTTGAAAGGTATGCTTCGCATTATTCATTACACGACAAAAGCTACCCCCTGCTTTCTCGATTTCATTCTAGGATTGACATAGCTATATCCTCATCTCTATTGATTATTGTAAATACACAGGATGCATGAAATATATCTCAATGGCGGCAAGCCAAAAGAAAAATTTGTTGACTACTCGTAAGTTTTAATTTATCATTACCATGCCTTTATTAATGTTTGATTATAAAGTTTTTATAAGAATGAACTTAATCAATTGATCATATAATTTTAATATTATGGCAGAACATTGGGGAAATTCGTTGGGTAAAAAGAAGTGATCTAATTGAATCTCTAGCTCAAGATCTCCCTCTTGGTACGGTACAAGTTGGATGCCAAATTTTCTCTGTGAAAATAGACCAAACACTTCTTTCCCCACTCTTCAATTGAATGATGGCACGATAATTAGAGCAAGGTATTTATATTCTTCAATAATATAATATGTTTCTGTTCTATATATGATACTGGCATAATGCATACCGACAACTAGTTAAATATAATTTATATATAATCATTCTCAAGGTCTATATCACAAATTTTGCCTTCTAAGTTAACCATTGCTGATAAAACGTACCAGATTGTTGTTATATATTTACGAATTAATAAATTTTGCCTTCAAACTTTAACCATTGCTAAAATACGTACCGATTGTTGTTAATATATTTACGAATTAATAAATTTTTGCCTTCAACGTTAACCATTGCTAATAAATAACGTACCAGATTGTTGTTAATATATTTACGAATTAATAAAATTTTGCCTTCTAACGTTAACCATTGCTAATAAATAACGTACCAGATTGTTGTTAATATATTTACGAATTAATAAAATATTTATCCAGTTGTTTTCGGACGGTCTATTTTAATGTTTAAAACTTATAAGTAGGGAAATTTTTATTATTTCAGAAACCTTAAGAGTCTAATTAGGGTTATTTGACTGCAGATGTTGATTGGATGTGACGGAGCCAACTCTGTGGTTGCTGATTTTCTTGAGTTGAATCCCAAGAAGCTTCACCCTTCAAGTGGAGTGAGAGGCTTTACATATTTTCCAAATGGCCATGGATTTGCCCCTGAATTACTCCGAACTATTAGAGATAAAACTATGGCTGGGGTAGCTCCGGTCAATGATAATCTGCTTTTCTGGTTCGTAAATCACCAATACAATTATCAGGGTATGTACTTATATATGAATTTAATTAAGCTTTTAAATATCGGTTTATTTAATGATAAATGTATACCTTTTAATAAAAAATTATGTAGTATGGGTTTTTTTTTTCTCTCCATTTTTATTATTGGATTGAAGATCAAGTAAAATAGAAATCTGACAAATTTTAGAGAGAATAGTGGTAAATAGGAAATTTTTTTCATTTATTATATAAGCTTATTTCATTAACTTTCTCAATCATTATTGTCTTGTTAACTACAGATTCAAAGATGGTCGAAGATCCAAAGATGATCAAACAAATGGTTCTAGAGACCATCAAGGGTTTCCCTCAAAAAACGATAGATGTGATACAAAACTGTGACATTTCTTCCCCATCATTCAACCGTCTGAGATATCTTGCCCCATGGGACATATTGTTAGGCCAGTATCGGAGAGGAACTGTGACAGTGGCCGGAGATTCGATGCATGCAATGACTCCGTTCATCGGCCAGGGTGGCTCAGCCAGCATAGAAGATGCAGTTGTGCTGGCTAGATGCATGGCAAGAAAATTTCAAGCCAATCATAATAATGATCATAAAGATTTCAAAAGTAAGAAGATGATTGAAGAAGCAATTGATGAATATGTGAATGAGAGGAGACTGAGATTGGTTAAATTGGCTTTACAATCTTACCTTTCAGGTACATTAGTGGATACTCCATATATGCTTGTGAAGTTGATAATGTTGGTGCTTTTGAGTGCCTTTTTTAGGGACAAATATGCTCATGTTCGGTATAATTGTGGTAATCTGTGAGGACTTGTTGCTTCAAGAGTCAGCTAGCTAGCATAGCTTCAATGGTTGCACTTTATAGTAATTATTTGTAATAAATCACAGACTTTGGTTACAATGTTGTGAAGATATTGGTATCCTTTTTGTAACTCCATTATTGATTATAATATTGTGAGGATACTAGCTGGTTTTATTTTTATAAGTTTTTTGTTAAATATTTTAAGTCTATTATTGAGTTTCAGTAAAACTAGTGATAATTAATATTTATAAAGCTATCATAGTTGTAACAATTAAGGTGTTAAAACATTTTCTAATAACGGTCGGTGAAAGTCCATCTTTATCATTTCAGAATCATAACGATAGATAGTAACATCAGATAATAAACTTATGAAAAACAACATTGAAAGACATTAATATCTTTTAAGAACAACACATAAATGAGCTAAATGTGAATCTCGTGTTTGTACACACACCTCCTTATGGATATCTACATGATCAAGAGTCATTATTCTCAACTTTTAAAAAAGGAAAATAATAGAGACACCGAGAGTAGTGCATCGAATGATGTGACACAATCTTGACCATCGATTAAACTAAATATTAATCGACGGTCAGGATTACGCCACGTCATTCGGTGCACTACTTCCGATGACTGTAGCATTACTGTCTAAAAAATTGTAAGGTTCAACTAGAACTCCAATTTTGTACTTAAATTCCTAAAAGGATATGCATATTTTTGGGTTATAAAATAATACATGTCCTATCACGGCAAAACCTTGGAGATTTGTTCTCAAGAAAGATATGTGTATTGAATTGACACTTTAGTCCTTGAGATTTGGTTAAACTAAAGGTGTAAACGAGTTGAGATAAAGCTAAGCTTTAGGTTATTTGAGCTTGGCTTAGTTGCTACAGTGTAGAACTTGAGCTTGGCTAGCTTGAAAAATCGAGCTCGAGCTCTGAAAAATTTGCTCCCTATTAGTTTCAAAACTATCAAATATACCCTCATATTCTTTTTTTTTTAAAGTTTTTAAAAAGGCATTTTACACTATTCCAACTTTGAAAAGAACATCCTAGCTTTTTGTCCTAGCTAACTGTATTATTTTCCTTTTTTTTTACTTCTCCATCTTTTTTAATTTCTCTTTTTTCTCATTTTCTCTTTATCCTCTGGTTCTCTTTCTTCTTCCTTCTTCATCTTCTTTTTTCTTTCTTCTTCTCTTTCTCCTGTTCTATATATATTTTTTCTCTTTCTTCCTTTTTTCTCTTCTGTTGATGCGTGATTTTTATACCAACGAAATACACGTGTGCAATGTTGAGCAGGCTCAAAGGACACACGTGAATGAAAAGGAAAAGGATAGTAAATGCAATGGGAATAGTTTTTAAAGTGGTTCAGATGCTAAGGTAGCAAATCCTATGTCCATTGATGCTTATATTGATGATAAGGGTCAGGTCGCTTTTAGCTGACTGACTTTACAATGACATTACAAGGTATCAAATGCTAATAATTCTAGGGAAAGAGAGAGTAATTAATCCAGTGTAAAAAAAAATGTGCGAATCCCCTTTAATGAGAGAGGAGCTCCCAATTTATAGTGGGATGCATTGAGGCAATGATCACTAAATCTGTAAGTTAGTGGGATTATCCGTGCAAATCCTACTTTATGTCACATTGCCCACCTTCCAGGGTGATTTGTATGATTTAGAGCAGGGATTGGACACGTAGGATCACCACAACTTCTAGTTGGCCTGACGCGCACCCACTATTCTGACAGAGGCAGGCTGTGGTGGTATCCATGATTTGACTCTTGTAGGCTGACTGGACTTGACGTCAGCCCTTATATTTTTTAGGCATAACAGAAGTCCCCTAGTTTTTAAGGTTCGAGGATTGAGCCTTGGAAACTACAAGTCATGCCGCAGCGGGATGATTTCTGGAAATTTTGGAAATTCTGGCATGTTTGAAAGTAGGTCGGGATGGCACTTTTATGAACACGACCTCGCATGTTCATTGTTTGCAGAGGACGGGCGACATGATTTCGTCAAACATCACCTGTTGTTCTTTGGTATGGATGCATTTAGTGAAACAATCTCTGCGCTGATAGATGTGCCCTGTGCGTGATAAGTGCCAGCCAAACGCACTAAATGCATTGTATGCTGACACAGTGTGCTTTATCAGAACATTAAATGCGTTATATGTTGGAACGATGCCCCTTATCAGAGCATTAAATGTGGACTTGAGACGCAATTAATGCTCTGAGAGAGATATGGTCGTCGTTTGAGCTTTTCAACGAGAAAGATGAAAGTTTGACTTTATCCAGTCGTGACGCTCACTCTTCCTCGCTTATGAGCGACACGTGGCAGTGATCAACGGTAAAAAATCTTTGCCGCCCAAACGCCGTTTCGATTTCGAGAAATCCAAACTCCGATTCACACGCTATAAAAACCACAAATCATTCTCAGGCAATGTCACCAGAGTCTTTTTCACAAAGAGCGAAAGATTTTCGCAAACCTGGAACCTTTGTATTCCAAACCTGCATTTTTTCGGCATTTGAAGCAGAAGCTGTTTTCATACTCCAAGAAGTAAGAACTTCTTTGTCGTTGTTTCATTATTTTCATGGTTAAATGGCGTCAGTTTCCCAGTAACCCATCAGAGACGAGATGTTTACGTCGGGTTTGAGCCATGAATGGTGGCTCGACTCATGATGTTAGGGTTTTCTTTGGGATTTAGGAAGTTTGTTTCCTCCCACGTCATCATACGAAATAGCGTACGATGGCTAAATGACCCTTCTGCTTGTCGCTTTTGCAGACTGGCAAAATGGACCCCTTAACAACCAGATCCGAGCAGGGAACTGGCTTGTCCCTACAGGGTGCTCCGATTATCCCTCTCCAGGTCTTCTTGGTATTTACCGGGGACGAGCTTGAGAGGATAATAAAACAGTATGGTATCGAGATGGACGTTTTCCACGACGTGACACACTCATCGCGATACCCGTCAAGTGGCCTGGCCGCGATCTCCAAGGAGATCATCAAGGGTAGGGTACTGATCCCCTTCCACCCTTTCATCAGGTCATTTTTGGACCACTTCGGGGTCACGCCGATGTAGCTGACTCTGAATGCATACGTCATTGCTATTGCAATGTACATCGCGTGCTAGGAGAATGGGCTGGACAAGCTGCTGCGATGGAGCTCGACTATTCGTATTTTTTGAAAAAGAGCAAGGACAAGGATTCTTATTACTTGTCCAGGCGACCTACTATCGCTGACGGGATACACAGTTATCTTAGCAATACGGGGGCCTACGAAACGAAGTTTTTCTTCTTTCGCTATGATGGCCATTGTCGCTTCCAGGAACCGAGTAGGACTCGTTCTCTTTGGGTTTTTTTTTTTTTTATTTGACAAACTCATTACATTCGAAGTGAGTTTTGTCTAACGACTTGATTCCTTTCTGACAGTTAACAAGATGACTGACTTAGGGCTACTCTTCGATCTTCGATAGAAGTAGGATCGTGCACTTCGGCTGTTTACCCGAGGACAAACGCGACGCGAAGAAACTCGTGACGACCGCGAATTTATGAAAATACGGTTTCTTCAACACAAACGCGTCGTTAGAGCCCCCACTGAGTAAGTCCTGCTAACTGATTCTTTTCTGGTCGTGAAGTAAAATACCTTTGCTAACGATGCTTTGCATGCAGCAACCATGCCTCCGAAGGAGTCAGAGCAGCCACGACGAGGGCCGCTCAATTTTCCTCGGTTGAAAAAAGCCAAGGCGATCGATGCTGCTCTGACCATCCCCTCGGCTGAAGGTGCACCATCAGGCCAACCGACGCTACCTTTCAGAACTTCTCAGCCACAACCGTCAGAAGATACGCCAATGAAAACCACAAAGGTCTCCCAGCTGTTGCCTGCTCGCCCAAGGATGAAGACAATAGCTCAGCAAAAGAAGAGGAGGCAGATTCAGGTCGAAGAGTTGGAGACCGAATTTGAGGGTGAGCAGCTCAAGAGGTCGTAGAAGGACGTCGAAAGAAGGTCGAGTAAGGAGCCGATGGACGACACGACCACTGCTGAAGGCACGAAGAAGGATACTCCAGTGTTGGACTCGTTGGGGAACCTGTCAGAGTACTTGCAGCCAGTGGTCTACACTTTATTGGAATGCAGACTCTCGGAATCATTTGAGTAGTTCACAAATTCCAGCGACGTGGACCTAATGTCCACATCGGTCCAACACTTAAGCAAGGTGAATGAACTGTCCTCGGCGAGGACTACCCTTAGCTCATTTTGATTGGTTAACTCTATCTTTCTTTGTTCGCAGGCCCTTCTTTCCATGCGAATGTCCTCGGAGAAGGTTCAACTGGGAGCTGCAAACGAGGAGATTGCCCTAAAGGAAGAGAACGCAACACTCAAGCGAAGCCTAGAAGCCGTCGAAATAGAGAGAAACCTATCTTCTAAATCGGTGAACTGGTACTTGAATGAAAGAGATGCGGCTCTTCGCACAGTGGACTTTCAGAAAGCGCAGCTCGAGAAGCATGGAGAGGAGATAAAAGAGTTACAAAGGACCATAGCCAGACTCTCCA